AATAATTGTATGATGGTACTAATTAGTAAGTACAGTCAATTAGACGATCTCGTAGCTAAGTCTCAAAAAACTGAAATATTCTAGATTTAACAAGTACATAATCACACAATCTTGAGCTTAAAATTTAACAAGAATGGTATATTGCACACTAAAATATTTGATAGTACACACGTTAAAAACTTGAAAATGAAAATCAATGCTCCTGAGTTAACAAATCGGTTATATTTACACATTACAACACTAGTAATATTTTTATTTGAAAATATCACATAGTATGATTATTAGTCAATGATTCCAATAATCATAATATAGATTATTGACGAATATCTTAAACTGTAAAAACTTGATTTGAAACCGTCTCTTTGTTAATGTTAAGAAATGAAATTGATTAATCTGAACTGGCATATTTGTAACCTGTGCGGATTGACTCCTTATTCCCAATGCTCTTTAAAGAAAGCTTTTAGATATGTTACTAGTCACATTATATATAACGTGTAAATTAATCTCTTGTATTCTAATAAATTGACATTAATAAGTTTGGTATTAAACAGATTTAAGCGTGTTTACAAGTCAGTTGATTGGTTTACACCTAATAAGGAAGTAAGATATTTATTGATATTTCACACCTGACTCTTCTATTTAATTCAGTCAATTATGGTTAATACATAAATTATCTGGAACCTAAATTAAATTTCTTAGATAATCTGTGTGCATTTCTTTAAATTATTAGATCGGTCAGAAGTAATAAAAATGATTTTTCTGATCAACAAATACACAACGACTGGTGATATTTTGTATCATGTTAATGCCTCTAACAAAATGCAGTTCTAATAGGTAATAATGTTTTTGTAAGAAAAAATGCCAGTTACTATGAATGAGAACTGAAAAAATAAATTCATAAAATATTGACCAACTTTCAGTATATTTATGTCAAAATGGTCCTCATATATGAAGTTTTGTCGTATTAACATATTGATGACAGTTTACCTGGACCAGTGATCGATATCAGGAAATAAAATCTTGGTTTCCTAACTTTTAAAATCAACAGGGGCTCAGTAATGCTCAATTGCAATCATGAATACATTTAAATCCATATATTTTGATTACATTGAATCTATTATCCTAAACATATTAAAATATAAACGAGCATAATAGAGTTATGAATATCGGTCTGTCTTAGTTTATGACTCTTCATCACCATACAATCACTATCTCACATACGATTTATTTGAACATATAAATATTTGTACAAAGCGCACCGAATACATGTGCGCCACATAAGTCACTTGATTTCTATGTGGGCTGGGATACTTTCCGGGTGCTCAAACCGAAGCTGGTGGTTTTCTTAGAGGGCCACACTCCGAAACTTCGACCTAAAGTTCTGATCAACAAAACAGTGGAGCAGCATCAGAAGATGCATTCCCATGGTAGCCGGTAACCAATAAGTTGTTCAAAGGCCACTCGTTTCCTTCAGGATCCTGGAGCTCATGTACACCATTGGTTTGGAATCAGGGTTTTCCGACTCACCTAAGTGGATCCTTCATACCCAGTAACTCGGTTAAAGAGCCTGACATTCGCTTCTTGTCCTCTTAATTTCGTAAACAACACCCCCATTGCGAGAAGGCAGTGAGTAGGACTTCTATAGCAGTGTTTGTATGCACGTGGCCGTGTGAGGGGAGTTTGAGAGGGAGATCTGACTCTCCTCACTCTCGGCCGTACCAGGGCACTTGGTCTACAATTCCAAATCTAACTATAGTATGACATTATCATCTTCTATGCCAAAGCGGGCCTAGTTCACTATGAAATTTTAAGGAGAGCAATAAAAAAAATTGTGCAGAATACTACGAATTCATTTTATTTCGCTAGGTCCTCATCATCTGCTTACAACCTAACGAAATAAAATTAATTCATATTATCCTGCACCAATCTTTGTTCTTGCTCTCTTTAAAATAATAAAGGGAACTATGTGAATGAAATTTCACTATGAAATGTTTAGGTTTATTTGAGCAAATCTTTTAGGTCAAATTACGCAAATAATGTTTGCTAAATGAGTATTATCTATGGATAAAACCTATCACTTGTCAAACATTTTAAGTAACCAGTATGAATTGGGACTGATTACAATTTCTTTAATAGAAACGTGATCGACAAAAAAGCTTGTCCTATATATATACATATGTATATATATGTATATACTCTAGATGACTTAATCATGATTATTTTCGTGTATCAATTTACTAAAATGAATTTAATTTTCGAGCAATAGTAGTTCTGCCCTATTTATAACCTTGTATTTGGATTCTGTGGATAGGTACATTAATTTTCATAAGCAATTACCAAATTTGACAACCATTCAAATATTTTATCATACAGTTATTGATATAGAGTATTTAACCGCTGAAACTAATCCTAACTGACGACAGACTACTCTCATATTCAAAAACATTACACTTTACTGAGAATACTTGTTTTCGTAGACATCATAGTATAGTAATAATGTTATTATTGTTTTGTAACTTTAGTGATGGAAATTTAGAAGTTAACATAAATGTTAGGTGGTTGGAGCCAATCGGTATTAATTATTAACCAAAGTTTTTAAACTAGTGGGAACTCATTAGTTGGTACAATCTTCTCCTCACAGAAGACTAGACAATCACGATATCAGTAACTAATCAGTGACCAATTATGGTCGTAGTAATCAATTCTATTCCATTTAACAATTATGTTGTTTATTAACCTTATGAGAAAGATTTCTCATCTTGATACTTTTACATAACTCATTAGCTGTTTTAATTCAAATTTTAAAGAAAAATATTATTTTGTAAATGAATTACTCGTACTCATTACACTAACAACGTGAAATTTTGTCAATTAAAATTAACTGGAAATAAATAAACGTTCATTAAAAATCTTTATTCTTTGAATCCTGTCATATAGAATGTGTTTCATCAATCGAAATAACTATTCAACTTCAGTTACATTACCAAAAATTGTAAAGTTCAGATAGATCTCCTCAAAATTCTTTAATTTAAAGTTTATAGATGGTGGATAAGGATTCAATCAGATAATGAACTATCATATTAACATCCATAAGACTAAACAAAGAAATTTTATCCATTATTCTACAAAGATTTGCCTGTAAAGCATCACATTGACTTGAAATTAAAGAATACAGTTAAACGAATGATTTTAAGTACCTTTCTTTTCAATTTCAATTACTTTATTGAATTAATTAATTCTCTAGTATCATCGAATTGATTACTAGTTCAATAGACTTTTAATTACTAACTGAAATGCTTAAAATAATTAACTTTGGAAGTAGTTATATTCATCACATTCTTTTTCTTACAATCCATTTACTGTACTAAACAGTAATAATAATAATTGCAAAATATTAGATTATTAGATAGAATGAACAATAAAGTGCAGTGCAAACAATAGTCATAAATAAAGATGGATGGGGGCTATCAGTGGAATCAAGTTTTGTGGTGAGGGCGACGTGATATGAACACACAGCCTTCTGATATGGAGTCAGATGTAGAGCCACTAAATTGTAATATGAGTTGGGTCACATGCCTTTTCCACTGCGCATCATTTCGTTTAGCTCACTCTTCTTCACTTCATACGCCGCGATTCTCTGATTATCTGTTCCGATCAACGGGTGTACATGATATACATATTCAAACATCCATTCTTATATTTGACTTATTTAATTCCGTTATTCATCAATGCGAGTTAGGTCGATAATTATGTAGGAAGATTGACGACATGTATATTTCAATAACATTCATACGATCCAACTGGAGTCAGATCTCGGGCCACAAAAGTGATATTCAGACAAGCGTACCTTAATAACAATGAAAAACATGATATAACTGGAGTTAGATATAAGGCCACTATACCAGGACGCGCGTTTCGTACTATTTGGGACTTGTCGGCTGGATGCATCTGAATCCTACAGTTAATGTTCACTCCGGGACTTGGATTGCAATCCTAAACATCAATGAGAAGATTCAAACAAACAATTTAAAATGAATTAATAGTTATAAACGGATTTGCATTTTAATGTTAAGAATACCGTATGAATTCTTTTGAATTCTTACGAAACATAATAATGTCACTAACAGGTTTTTTTCTTTTTAAGTTGACTTATCAATAATGAAATGTGAAACACAATCACAGAATAACCTTGAAGTCACTAATTCCAAATCTGTCCTGATTCAAGATTTTTCTACATTTACTCATTAAATAGGATGACATAGAGTTTATTAGTTTGAGTTAATTATAACTGGTTTATTTATTCATATTTCATCATAAGCTTGTATAGTTGGATCTTAGTTGAAAAAAAAAAGACAAAAATTGGGAGTTAACTAGCAAAAAATAACTGGTTTAAAAATTAACCCGGAATTCATATGTAAGACACTAAGATTATTTACTGTGCAGGATAACTTTCCAAATTCAACTGTGATTGAAATGATCAATACTTTCTTCATTGTGCGTCCATTTCAAATCTTACAATTATACACTTCATCATGAACGTTTATTATTGTAAAGACATTAAATGAAATTATTATCATTTCAATATCAAGTCAAACAATAATTTAACAATAATTAAACATCAAACAATAAAGTGATCCATCCAAACCTTTTAAAAAAATTGTCAATCCTTAAATTGATCATAATGAAATTTTATACACTTTCATATAAAGTTTTCAATCATTTATGATTTCATATTAAAGAGTGACCCAAATTAAACAGGCATTGGAAATCACCAGAGATCAGGAACTCAGAACCTGATGTGACCGTGAATGCACATTACATAAATGTTCGATACTACTATAAAATAGCTGTCCATAACTTTTCGGTTTTCAATACTTCATTAATTAAAGTCAATCTGTAATGTATAATTACAACATTTAACAATCTCCACAACCAACTTTATCTATTATTTCTGTATTCGATTGGTTTCTTCTTGTTTTTTCTGTTTCTCTCTTTAATAGTAAAATAATGAAACAAGATGAAGAATTGCACAATTTAGTCGAAGAACTCGAGCTACAAGTTAATCAAGAAAAAGAACAATTAAAACAAAAGGTAAACAGTTAACTTTGATGTACGTTTGTTTCTCCCTGTATATAATTCAATAATAATGAATAGTCCATCGTACCAATTAAAGCGCCAACAAAGCATAATCAAATATCTCGCGTTATTTCGTATAATTTAAAATTAAAGGCTCACATTATTATATACATAAAAATATAAGGTTAAAATACACCGATATGCACATGACAAGAATATTTGTCAGTACCAAAGTCATGATTAGTTTATTGTAATTTTTAGACAATAAAATAAAATAATAACATTTAGTGAGTTAGATGAATGCTTACAATTGGATATTATGGAAATTCATAGACTAATTATTCAATAATTACACATTGAAAATACATATATATTGGATATCAAGAGGATAGCTTTCTAATTTTCATAGGATGAAGAACATTTGTAGTTTAGGATGAGAATTTGGACGGTGCTATATTCGCTAAGCTAAATAGTTTTTAATATATTTGATAAACTTTGTAACATATCAGTTCAATGTTACGCTTTATGAAGATAGTTGACAGGAAAATTTAGATTTCATATGACTACTTGTCACCAATGTAAAGTAACTGCACATTCAAATTATCCGACTAATTTTTTGGATGAATGTTTTTTACATTTTAATAGATATCTGAAAGTATACAGTTTAACTATACTTTAATTCAAAGTTATATTTTCAATCTTTCTTCATTATTTCTGCCGGTTTTACTCATATCCATTTCAGTGATTTTGCCATCACAACATTTATCAGTAATAATCTGTTGATTTTGTGTCTATTCACATTTATCAGTAGGATTCAGTTGTATGTTGATCAGAATGTATACTGACCTAACGATTATAATCTTTAAAATTATATAATCAAACTATATATTGTACTGTTTTACTGTATGTAATGTGAAGAAACATTACATTGTGTATTTTATGCTACATAATACATGAAGCTTTAATTTCCGATTAATATACAAACATACCGATAACATACATAGTCGTATTTAAATATTTGTAGTAAATTCTATATTCTAAGTGTTTTTAATACTTTCATGGAATGATCTTTAATTTTTCTCCCTGTTTTTATAAAGGAAGAACTCAAGGAAAGAGAACTGAAAGAAGAATTAAATAACAAAGTACAGGAAAAAGAAAAATTGTTAAATGACCTTGTACAACAATTTGAAAAAGTAAGGTATTTAAAATGTGCGTTCACATGATCAATAGTTTGTAGTACATTCACCTGTGAAGGGGATCAATTTCGATTCGAATACCTTACAACTAGTTTTAGTTAATCCTAAATCACACGAAGAATTGCAAAACCTTTGTATATTGAATATTTAAAAGAAATAATATCTATAGTTTTGCCTAAAATTCCCATACAACATAAGTTTTCGAACATTACTTATATTGTACAAGATTAATCACAAGTTGTTCTGTAACAATTCTTTACCTTCTCCCTTACACATGCAAACTCGAAAGAGAAAACTTACCGGTTGAGCACTCATTAGTGTTCCATGTAAAGAGTAACTTTATGTGAGCCTACAAAGTATTAACATATTAGTTTGATAAGAATGTATCTTTCGACTACCAAATTTATAAAGCTGATATAGTGTAGACGTAAATGACTGGTAATTTGCCAACTGAAGCTTTGCCATCTGATTTATAAAGTCTTCAAGCAGAGAATAATATTGTTCATAGCATTTAATTTTTTTGATTCAGAATGATTATAAGACATTTAGAATGATGAAATCAGTTTGTTTTTGAATTCACTGAACGAAACTACTTCATTTATGTGTGAAGTTCAGCAATGAATTAACAAAATAGGTTACATGCAGTGAGCCTATTACATACATTTCATAATGCTAATGCAAACTTATGAGTTTGTTTTCAGTTACCCATATTTGGTAGAAAGTATTTCACCAATCATTATAAATTGATATAACCTCTTTTATGCAAGCATAATAACTTCCCCTTTCGTGATGAAAAACTACTTTTTAATATTCATCGAGCTCTTTCACTTATATTACTGATCATGTTGCATGTTTTATGAATAAATTTTACGCAACCGTGTGTAGTTCATCACACATATTAGTTACAATGTAGTGAGAAATTTTAACGCATCCTCAAGTTTTACAAGAGGTCACTGGAGATTTGAATACTTTGATGCTCGGGTGCATGAATTTAATCCCAAATAAAATAAATTTAAATCTTTGATTCTTTTTGAAAAGTACATATTTTGGTTTAGATGATCAATGAAACAACCGCAAAAGATACAAAATGAAAGGATTTCTTAACGACATTTTCAACGATCACTTGAAAAAGAAAGAATTTAAAAATAGAAAATGATCACGTTACTCAAATTTTTGTGTCACAATAATAAATTCTTGATTGAAACGTCATTCATGATCCATCTAAACTTTTAAAATCAGTCTAAAATGTTCTAAAAATGGAGATATCGAATGTTTTGTTAAGCTTTATAACTGCAATATTATTGAAGTAACTAAATCATATGATTACAATTAAATGATAATTGTAATCGAAATTTTGTTAGGCATCCAAATGGTCTTTAAAAAATACTGTTAAAAAAGAACTACTGAATCATTTATAATGGTGAACAGTACCCAATTTACATTTTGTTATCGAAGTGTTGATTATACAACTTATAATTGAGGATATAAATTTGGATGGGACCACAAGTTTCTTCAAGAAAAATACTCACAAACAAACCATATTATGTGATTGAATGTAATCGATGAGAAACTCTGGACCTCGGTTTCAGGAGATCATACCTGTAATCTTGAGGTAACTAGTGCTCCATGGCTGATTCGATTAAGCGTCACATGTACGGTTACAGCTTGCTGACGAGTGCTAAACCTCACTACACATAGTTCCTTAGTCTTAATTTAATTACCTTCAGCTACCTATTACCTCAAGATAGTTCACGCAATATCTGGTCACTTAGAGTACTTTCCATATTACAGCTCGATAGGTAGCAAGAAAAAATGACTAGATCAATACGATAATGCTCACTACTCAGAGAAAAATCGATTCTACAAATAACCTGAATGATTCAAAACAAACGAAAGAGACAATTTAGCAGATTTCTCGAAAAAATCAAATGATAGACACCAATATTCAAGTTTTATATATAGCGTGAAAGATGGTAAGATGTCCTTTCTCACATTCCCTTCATTAGGAAGCATGAAATGAAGTCGACCGAAGCGTAAGCTTATTCTGAATATCTGAATTTCAACTGATTGAATCATAAAATTCCATCATCATAAACTGAAAACAGTCAAGGTCCTAAAATAAAAAGGTTTCCCATATGAAATATATATATATATATATATATATATTCAGTTGTAAAAATGTAAGTCCAAAACTTGCCATATCTATTGTATTATAAGCAGCTAGAAAACTACTCTACTTCTAGCACAACTCAGAGATTGTAGGAATATTGAGTTTCATTGATTCAAATTGCCAGGAAACAATATTTAAGAAAAGAACATTTTGCAGTTGACTTCGTTTATTATTATGATATATTATGATATGTAGTTCTACTAATCTGCATATTTGTGAAAATATATTTCATTACGAGTCAACGTGAGTTGTATAAATACAGAACGTCAACTTTCACTCGAAAATTATTAGATAATATATACTAAGAAAACAAACTGTATGGGACCCAGAATTTTATGTACTAACTATCTAGACAGTAAAGCTAGTTTTAAGATGACTTCTTGCCTTTTAGTTAGTTTCCATAACCACTGAGTTCATTTCGATCTGGAGTTAAATTATAATTCAAAGATTACAATCTCAATATATTCTCCACAAAGTAATCTGAAGATTTGATATATTTCTCTGGGTCTGACAGTCCTGAGCTCGACCTATGGCTGGGCTTGGAGCGAAATCAATAATAATATTCAGTCGATTTTATTTAGTGATAAAAGCTATCTTTATATTTAGATAAACCTAAATTATTGCTTGTAATGATCAGATTTAGAGCAAAAATATGTATATTTTTGTAATTCTTATCTTTACTAAATGATATCTTTACAGGCTTCTATCAAAGTAGAAGAACTTCAAAAGAATCGAATGAGCATTGCGCAAGAAAAAGAGAAATTATTACAAGAAAAAGAAGATCTAGAACGTAAATTAGAAGAATCACAAGAAATGTTAAATGAATGTAAAGATTATATTGATACACTACAGAAGAAAGCACGTGAAGAACGTCGACGTAGAGCAAAAGCAGCCATAGAACTTAGTGAAGGCATAGCATTAGAACGTGAAACATTAGTAAGACAACTCGATATGTTACGGTATGTCCTAATCAGTACCAGGATCAATTAAGTTTTTATGATTAACAATACTATCACGTATGATTGTACAGTCGTAGAGTGGGATGTGGATCATAGTTGTAAATCCACTTAGTTATAGTGTAGTGAACAAGAACATGAGTGGGGACAACCAAATGTATTTGAGCACGAAATTACAGAACATCGCACTAATATCTGAGAACAATACAATAAATGCTTAATTTACAAAATATCAATCCATCGTCTCAGATTTCATTGTTTCTGCATTTCCATACCAATTGCTTTTCGTTACCGTTCCTTCTTTCTCAATCTTCTACTAAAATGCATTCTATTCCTGAATATCGTTATATACTACTTATGTGGATATAAGTAGCTCACACTACAATAATATCAGTATTCAATAAATCGTTTAGTTTATATTCATTATTTTCTCTAGAATGTATTATGTCACCCATTAATTTGTATGAAATGAGGAAAAAATTGTAAAGGTGTACTTTATTCTAATTAATCTCAACACTATTCTTTAGAAATGGTACTGAATTTTTTTATACACAAAACATACTAACTAATTCACCTTTTGATTCATTTTCATTCCATCAACATTTTAAAGATAATATCAATAGTAATGAATTATTATTATTATTAAAATTATTATTATTATCAGCTTTATTCAATATTATATTTTTGGTACAATATAGAATTCGCAGCGTAAAGTATTTTAACAAGTTTCCGTTTCTTTCTTCTTGGTCGGTCCTGGCGATAAATATTGAGTGATCGCCAGTTAGATGTTAGCAGTTCACTAAATGAACATCTGAATAATGTACATTCTTTCCGTTGTATATTGCCAGCAACCACATTGTCTCTTATTGAGTTTTTTGTAACTTTGACAACGAAAGGTTGTACACTTTTCAAAAACGCAGCAGAATAGGTTATGCGATTAATAAACATAATGATATATTAAAACAAGGAAAAAATAGATAACTTGTTGAAATATCTAGATGGCAGGAACAGGTAGCCCAGATAATCTAAAAATCCAAACCTTTTCACTATCAAATATACATATATATAGTTAATACGTTTATATATTTCTTATATAACTATTATACTAGTTATATATTAGACTGATTGATTAACCAAAATAAAACTAAGATGATTCAATTTAATTAACTTATAAAAACATACTTTAAATCTGAAGGTTATAAGAAAGGTCAAACATTCATCATTTATTACATTTCCTAAATGACCAACTATTTATTATATAATATAATATAAATTACATAATTAGATAAATATTTATTATGATTCTTTGTAACTAATTTAGTAACATTTCACCAAATCAATAATCAGTCTAATCAATTACCTAGTATCAACTAATTTTAATCAGTGTGAAATATTTCGATAACTTTCTATCATTAGTATTTTAGTAAACTTTATGCAATAACATAAAGTATTTTTTCCATTCATAGTCAACCTTTTTTTTCTAAATCTGATTAATCGGTTATTAATAGTGATCTACAGTTAATTGTAATGGGTGTGTGTGAGTGTGTGTAATTTTTTTTGCTAAACACCATGTTATCAACTGTGAATGAATTGAAATTACAATAAATTACATTCCATAATAAATAAATGAACGTAGTTTAAATATGTTAAAGATACGGTTAATATGATTAAATAACTGTGAAATAGCTTATGATTGATATTGCTTGTTAGGTTGTTAAATACACGAGAGTAGATAAATACACAGGAGATAAATATAACTCATTGGTTGAAGTTAGACATTAACATTGTCGGATGCCGGCTCAGTGGTCTAATGGTTAAGCGCTCACGCGCGAAACTGGTAGGCTTTGGGTTCGAACCTCGTGGAGGGCGGGATCGTGGGTGCGCACTACTGAGGAGTTTCATACTAGAACGAAACGGCCGTACAGTGCTTCAAGGTTTTCCATGCTGGTCTCACTTTAATTAACTCATGATTTCAACTTTCGGGATTTCATTAACTTATCATCATAAGTTTGGATGTTGATTCCAGTTATAGTATGTTGTCATACTATTTTCAGACATAATATTCAAGTTATGATACTATAGCAACTATCCTACAAACAATTTCGATTATGGTTAATTTTGGTTAAGCCCTTTCATTAATTTACCTAACAGACAATGATATTTGAACAGTAACGATTCGCATATTTCGTTGCACCATTATGTTCACAAAAGCACATGACAGACACTAGCTAAAATGTTGGTTGCTTAAATATCACTCGATGATTTATCTACCTCCCGATGTATGTATGTACTCGAATCCTATCATTAGTCCTTGCTTTGCCTTGCTGAGCCATTATGCAATTCGACTATAAATTTGCCTATGTAATTGCTCGCATATACTTATTCGCCGTTCCGCTTCAAATTCACTTGATGTGCTTATAACTTTGTGATTCGCGCTATCCGCTAATAAACTGTAGTCACCGCTTCTCATCGCCTTCTGATATTAATCACCGTTGAGATTTATATTATAACGGTTATCGAGGTGATCGGTTAACGAAGCGAAGCCATTACAATACCATAGCATTTTAAAAGATAAGTAGATAAAGTGTGATTTCCGTAACTAAATAAGAGGTGGATAATAGTTTAATCTGATACGTACCATCATGACTAATAGCCTTCAACCCAAAAATCACCGAAAACCAGAGCAAATTGTGCAGCCATTATATATCTGTATAGAACTCAGTAGCGCGCACCCATGACCCCTTTGGAAATCGGACCCATGGTCTCTAAATTTTACATCAAGGCGTTTGCCTTCAAGTGTATGATTTGAAATCCTACGTTCCATATTCCAAACTTTAGTTAACTTGTAATATAGCACCAATATAATCAATTATGACTGTCTCACTCCACAAAAATTGAGCCAGTATGATATTTCACAAGAAATGCTTCTATGTTAGTTATCAATATAGACGAGTTCATTATTCAGATGAATCGATTGTGAAGATTAGTTCCTTGTCTGTTTGTTACAAAAAGATGTAAGATTCATAAAGTGAATATCATTTGTCTAATTGATCTCTTATAGTCAATTTTCTTCCTAATTTGAAATTTGATGATAAAAATATACAGAAGTAAACACTCACGATATTATACAAATCCAAGTTAATCTGTTCAAATTATCACAGTGACCATGCCATCAGTCATTTACTTTCTTAAAAACAACGAATAATTTGATGACATTATTCAAATTTTATCCTAATGGATATCTACTTATAATGTCAACAGTAGTTACAGTTGCTTATTTACATTTTGGTATAAAATTCATTTGGCAACAATTCAGAAATATATTCTACTCTATTCACAAATTTACTCTTTAACAAGCATTTAAAAAAAATTACAATCATTATCATAACCTAATTATTATATAATAACAGCTGATGAAAATTAGTTAATACACATGAACATTATGAAGTATGGTTAACCAAAAAAACTGTTATTCCATCGTTTTAGGGTATCTGTTAAATCATTACTAAATATTACACATTATACTGGATGTTTCACAAAATTTAAACAAATGTGTGTTTTTTTTATTACCATAGTTTCATTACTTTTATCTGAAATCAAACTGAATTCAAATTTATGAAGAACAGAAATATTTAATATTTTACCTTTTAACCTAAAGAAAATCAAAACAAAACGAGTAGAAAAGAAAGATCTAGGTTGTGACAAAATATCCTAACATTAGTTGATCACTTAATAGTATCAAGTGTCTTGTTTTCTATTCTCTATCAATTGATCCTATCGATCAAGTTATGAACTAATGGCTAGACAATCGTCAACACATTTAGAAATAGGTTAGTTGAGATTTGTATGGTTTAGTGGTAACACCTCTGATTGTAACACTTAGCAACATCAATTTATAACTCCACTAGGAGCATCATTTTACAAAAAATGTCAGATATGCCTTACTAAAGAATGCTAACTAGAATGAAAACTAAAGTCGGGGTTTCATACTGACTCTTTTCAAACATTGAAATCAATTTCCTATTATTATTTTATTGGATAGGTTTGAAACTCCCTTATAATCCATATCTATCCGTTTTTTAATAGAATAAAGAAGCCTGCAGGTTTAACACAGACGTATTTTCCTAAATTCGCTTAAGTCTGGTTCTTGTCTGTAAATTTATTCCATCCTTATCTGAAATCTTCTTCTGTGGAAAATAATCCAGTTCTGAAGTATGTAATTAATGGCTTTTATTCTTGTAACAACTTGAAATAAGTAAATTACCGTAAGAAAATGAACTGTTCTTTACTTTTCTTCAAACAATATCACTTCATCCTAGATAGAGTGTTTAGAAAAATTAGTTAACTTCTAAATATTTTGATCTTTATATAGGACTATTAATCAGAAGTTAGTTGATGAACAAGAGTTTAAATCTCAAACGCTTTACGCAGTAAAAGAAACATCACAAACAATTGATTTACGTGATTTTCACAGTAAATCACAATCACTTGATATGACCAGTGCAAAAGCTTCAGAGACAACAATAAAAGATACTGCCGCTTTACCACATTTACTATGTAGTTCAACTGATTTGGATGCGACAAATTTTGAGATCGCAGATGCAAGAAGAGGTTCTACACTGAGTAATTATTTCACACCAGTAATGTAAGTCCAACGTTCACTGATGATTGTATAAACTCTTGAATTAAACTTTCATTTCAATCATATTATTGCCCAAATTAGTGGTGAGCTAGATAAGTACAGTTCAATAAATCATTATGAATCATGGATGGTACTTAACTGAAATTTTGTTATTAATAAATTCAGTTGAGAATGTCCTTAATTAAATCAAATAAATGTATCTCTGTAACTATTTATTATGAAGTATCATTTAGGTAACTATCTGTTTATCAAACGAGTACATTAAATAATATTCCAAATCCAAATTATCAGTATTACTCAGTAAATACGGTAGTTAATACATAGTTTTTACAGCTGAATTCACGAGTCGATCTAAGCTAGACAACCATCGAAAACCTGAAAGCACTGGACAGCCGTTTCGTTCTACTATGGGACTCCCCAGAAATCAGCACCCACAATCCCGCACTCGAAACTCGAACACACTGCTGAGGGGTTCCTTATTAGAACGAAACGGTCGTTCAATGCTTACAGGCTTTCAATGGTTGTCTAGCTTAGATCGACTCGTGAATTCAACTTTGAAAATACTACCATCTCCATAACTCCCCATACTGACAGAGCTTTTAATTTTTAAAAATATTGCGAAACCTTATTATCATAAAACAATCCTTATTTGTTTAGCACCTAAACTAGAAACTTCATTACTTTTATAACTAAATTGAGTTGTTTCAAGATAACTCTAATGTTTATATTTGATTAATACACTGAGATGTTTAATTCCTTGAAAATATATTTGATGGACATTTCAAAATCGATTTCGAACACAGAAAGATGGTTTTCCAAACGACATAAAGGAGCAAGTTAGCGTGAATCGTCAAATTCCAAATTAAAACTATCTAAGTGCTTAGAGAGAAGAGGAACAAGTAACTGACTGTATAGATTTTTGAATATAGATTCTACATTTTAATTTGGCATCACTTTAGACTAAATGATGACAGTGTACGTGAAGGAGATCTTGGAAATATTGATGAAGATGAAGAATACGAAGAAGTTTTCAACCAATGTAGATCATACTTTATTTTTAAAAAATCTCTTATAAGTAACTTATTACAGATCCTGGCAGTATATATACCCCTCGTATTCGGAAAACTTCACAGAAATCTCGAGCACATATTAATGATTCATCTGAAGTACGTTATATGCCAAAGTGAGTTGATCGATTATCACTATCGCAATTATTATTATTATCACTTTTATTAGAGTTCCTCAGAAGAAAATGATATTATATTTTTATTTACTATCATAAGTTAGTAATTATTCAACGACATTTAGCTAACTGAAAGGTACTTGCCATCACTATTTTAGGATATACTTCGGTTATAATACGTTGGTAATAAATATTAATCCAAATATGTTCAGTGGTATCTAGAAGTCGCAGTTAACAAAGTATTCAGTGAAAAAGCACAGTGAAAGGGTACTAAGCACCCAAATATACCAATAGAGTAACCTTTCTTGACGAAAGCACAATCAGAACGATTATGACTTTAAATTTGTTGACAAATTTCAAAAAAATTTTTATTAAAACTGTCTTGAAAAATAACTTAAAAGTCCATTTTTATAAGTTACATTTATAATATCTAATTCACTTAATGAACAACTATTCTTTACAATTTAAAAGTTTGTTTAAAATTTAATATCATGCGTATAAACACATTGAATAAGTCAAACTCCTATAAATGCTTTTATAAATACAATGTATATCTATTTCTTTAACCAGATATTTAACTAATCACTAGAAATGTCATAGTAAATTATAATCTAATAATAATTCATCATTCTATTTGACACCAAATTCAAAATGAGAAGGTATAATCTGATGAATCAATAGAGTTGTATGAACTGAATGACTAGTAATGATATAGAATGATATTGATACTATATACTGAATTGACTAAAGTTGAACCTAAAATATACTGAACCCTTATTCAATAACTGGATATCATCTATCAGATTCGACAATATGGAAAATATCGGTTTCGTATTGCTGAATAATTCTTAACGAGAACTAATCTGCTGTTTAGTACTTTTCGATTTTTGATAACTGTGTCAATTGATGTCAATCTGTAATGAAAGCATTGTTGTATATTATAAATAACTATCATAACTATCAAACTGAAAATATTTTATTAGTAACTGCTGTTTTTAATTCATTTATACATGTAGTGGAAGAAGAGTTTCACCTGATGGAGCCTCCTACATGAGTTCAAATGCTGACTCGACCACTGTGAGTAGCCTTTCTGTTACTTGACATACAAACTAATGAATAATCTTTAAAGAGCAAAGTATAGATGCTAATCATTAGGCTTACATATATAGCTCGGTATTAAACCCTGTTAGAGGTAATATTCATTATAAATGAAGATTTGTTACTCGTTTTGTTTTCTAAATCCTTGTTCGTTCAAAAAGAAATATACGTCTACTTGTTGGAGTTTCAGGGTTCTACAAGATTGCAGACAAACTTGATCTTATTAGAAAAATATGTACATTTTATTGGAAATAAATAATTATGGTGGTTACACAGTCCTACCGTATTATTAGATAATCGATTCACTGATATCATCTTCATCGGGAAACCTGAGGATACTGGATTTGGTTTTATATAGGGTCATTGATACAGATATCAACTGATGATAAACATTAGAAAGATTAACATACTTGAAAAATTCCTCCCGACAACATTACCAAACGTATCCCTCCTCTTTCGTTGCTACCTCTATTAAAACAAACCACAGCTTTCCGATAAGTAGAGATACCTGGGTTGAATTGAAGACATGTTATTTGGATACAACAACATAAATGATTAAAATTTAAAAAAAAATTAGTTACTTTTTGTATTTTTTTATTTCAATAGTTTTCTGACTAATATTAGGTGTGTATTAATAATTCTCTTCAGTTATTGATATATTGTTATCCACTTTTCATTTCATTCATATTCTTTACCTATATATTTAAAAAGAATGGATCATTTGCTGAACGTGTCTACAAAGTTATATTTGTTGGTGATTCAGGTGTTGGAAAATCAAGTATTATAAGAAAATTTGTATCTGGTGTATTTGATTTAAATCTTCCATTAACTGTGGCAATTGATTTTCATGTGAAATTTATGCATTGCGATGGGACTAATTTGTATCTACAATTATGGGATACAGCTGGACAAGAGAAGTAAGTTCATATAAATGCATAAAAAAATATGTACATCTATAAGTGTATTTAACTATGTTTCTCTTTTCTATTTGCTAGCTCATATCAGTTTATCTTCTTTCTCTTTTCTTTTGTCTAAGCTTTATTTCATTCTTTACTTTTATTTAATAGTTAATAAATGTAAATATATGAATCACTAGAATGAATACAACCAATCATTTTTACACTTGAATATTATGGACCAATCAACCAGTGACTCATATACTACTTAAAATAGACAAATACACAAGGTCACTTAATTTTTGCTTATGTTAAACACTTGATATACGGATAATGAAATGTATATAGCTTCAATTAGTATATTAAAACTATGTGTAATAGTAATGATTGTTTTGTTTCATACACATAGTTTCCTTTATTTTGAAGCAAGAAAATGTAAAGATTTGAGTAGAATAACATTCATTCATTCATTTTCTTATGTTAGAAACTTATTAGCTACTGACAGTCTATAATATTTTAAAATCAAAATTACTGTAGAAGTTGATATATTTATGAGAATGGAGTTAACTACAAATAAATATGTACAGCGTGATGAAGCGAATATGTCAATAGAATTAATAGAACCATGAAAATTATTTGAGAGAAGTACAATGTGAAAGGGAATATTTCAAATTATCAAAACTCGTAATCAAATTATAATAAAACCTAGACTGGTGGCCACATTGCAACATGATCGATAGCATTCGATCTGCACTAATAAGGACTAGACAAGCATGAGACTGATCACCACCCAGTGATCAATCAATTGTGATTACATCTCAGTCCTACAGGAGGTCGGTCATGGCCCGGAAAGCTCAATGGTAACGTCTCTGACTGTGAAGCTGGGTGACACTGGATCGAGTCCGCCAGGGAGCACCAGTTCCCTCAAGATTACAGGTAAACCTTGCTGACGAGTGCCAAGTAGCACGAAACCCGGGTCAAGGGTGTCCTGTTGACTACCTCCAACCACCATCTAATCTTAATAAAACAAAAATTTTAGTATCTAATTAACTGAACATAGATTAATGGTAGTAAAAAATTAACATGAATTGAATTAGGTCAGTTGGAAATAAGGCAAACATTTATTAGTACCTATTCCGTAATGCTCAATGAAAAAAACTAGTTGTTGTAACTCGTTAATCTAGTGGACAGTTTTCTGTTGTCGAGTACCAGTAGGAAAACTGATTATCTTTAGAAAACAGATATGTCAATTCAAGTTTAGAAGAAAAGGTTATCTGAAATTTCGCTGATGATCACAACCAATACGTTCATCAGCGTAAATACAATCGATTCTATGATAAGTATTGTTAAGAGATTTTTTGCACAAATCAATTACTTAGTTTGCACAGTTTCATATAGATCCATAAATAAAGGTTATTTACAGTTCAGGATTAACATTCAACCATCTGTCGTATTTACTGTCTATGTACATATAGAGTTGTTATGACAGTTCACTATTATGACGAAAATAATCATATACATGTAATATGCGAAAGAGTTGAAAAGTGAAATTTAAACATTTTTGGTGAATAACGTAAGTCTTTTTTTCTGTGACTTACATTAAACTGTGTACCATCAAAAGTTCAACATTCTACCAGCTGTGACACTACAAATAAATTACCCTTTTCATACAATCGATTCAATCGACGCTAAATTTATTTGAAATTATCAGTTCCAACCTCAGGAGTGATACGGTTTCATTTACTAAGACTATTAAATTCTCTAGAAAAGTGAAATTATACACAGTTATTCTTTTTTTTGGAGATTGTCTATAATCAATGAAGTAATTTTAATCATAAAGTGATCTCAGCTAATGAACTATTTTGAAAATTATTCGAAATTAGTGGTAAAATATCTCATATTGACTAAGAACTCTTCACTAGTTTACATTCAAAACGCTATACGGGATAGAATCCAGTACAGTCACATTTAACACAAAACACCGCATTACTCAACCACTACATAGTGACCTATATTTACAACTGTCGCTTTTCAGATATAATTACGTTTTCACTTAACTCTGTCTTACCGTTGTAAACGAAAGTTCATGCATTAAATTTGTTATAGGGTGTTTATTTATTTATGTATTTATTGGAGTTTAAACTGATGACTAATAGATTTTATTTTCATTAGGATCATTCATACTTAACTAGTAGGGCCTCCGAATGCCATGATACGGCAGAGAATGGGGAGAGTCAGCTCTCCCTCTCGAAATGCTCTCACATGGCCACGTGCATTCAACCACTGCTATGGAAGTCCTACTCATCGCCTTCTCACAGCGGGAGTGTTGTTTACAAAATTGAGAGGACGAAAAGCGAATGTCCAGCACTTTAATCGGATTGGTGGAAATGGAGAGTCCACCTAAGGGGGTTGTAAAACCCTGATTCTAAATCAACGGTCCACATGGGATCCGGAATCCTGAAGGAAACAAATGGCCTATTAACCTATTGTTGGTCACTGGCTACCATGGGACTGCATCTGCTGACGTTGCTCTACTGCCTTGTGGACCAGACCTTTGGGTCAAAGGCTCCGAGTGTGGCCCCCTAAGAAAACCAACTGCCTCGGTTCGAGCACCCAGGCAGTATCCCAACCCACACATAAATCATTCGATTTATGTGGCACATATCTATTTGGTGCCTCTTTCTGCCAATGTTAATGTGTTTGAATGAAATAATAAAATAAATTTGATAATTAGCAGGTAATAGATCAAAGCTTTAATTCTAAATTTTATTTTCCAATTTGTGTCAAACCTTATTTGTTAATAATGTTTCAACTCTAGCATTTTGAGAAAATTATGCTTAGAATTACTACAGGAGTAGATATTCTTACATAAATCCTTTTAAACAAATGAATTATATGAAACACTTAAATGTAAGCTCAGATAAATTATGTAAACATGGTTTTCTTAATTTACTGTAGTTTTCCTGAATCTTAATATTTAATATTAGATTAGCTCTTATGGTTTCGAAGATTACAAAAAAATAAACTTTTATACCATATATTTTGTTTGAAAGTGATTTCTATCACTAAAGCTATTTGTAGTACAGTAATTATTCATCTTATTTTGAAGCATCCTGAGACTAGTTTCAGCCTACAAACTTATTAAACAATGGAGAAAATAACAAATCTCATAGACGATCATTGGAATGGAACCAGAATCTCCTCATCATGCTTTTACTACAGAAGCTGAATGAATTGATCCAAAATAAAAGTCGACTATAGTTTTATTTTAAAAGTAGAAATTATTATGAATATGGTTCCCTTCTCCGATAACATTCGTTTACTAGACAGGTTTGCATGATCTTGAAATTCTTCATAATCCTCATATCTTTACTAAGTCATAGAATTCACTCTTTTTTTTAAAAGTAAACATGAACTCCAATAGTTCGACCATTTTATAACTGTATTTACACATAGTAATGAATGTTCAAGTTTATTACAAAACCTTATTTACAATAAATGGAATCCCTTTAAATTGTGATTAGAAAGAAATAAGGAAGAATAATATGTTATATACAAAAGATATAAAATACTTTCTTAAGTGATATAAGTGTTTATAAAAATTTCTAACCTACATTAAAGTACATTATTAGTGGGAAAAATCACTAGATTTTTTCTACTTAAATTTAAAATTAATTTGGGCTAAACTAAAGAATATCGCAAAACCAATCAAGAACAAACAATCAACAATATGATAATCAGCGTCAGTCAAACGCATCGTTTATTTAGCAATAAAGGCAATGAGAGTTTACGATTGATCTCTTCATGAAGAATTTTAGTATAGAAAATGTCATAATAAAATGTTCACTGAACGTTGGAATGTCAAAGAAAACACTAAAATGTGAATGTGTATACGGAAAGATATTTAATTTATATTCAGAAGTACGAGATGCATTGATATTTCATTGTAATCTATGAAGGGTGTGAAAGTTGGGTTTAGGATGTTACGTTAGAGCGCCTATAGACACCTTCAAAAACGATCTTATTCATGTAAAATTAGTATACTTTCAATAATTCTTTCATATTCTACAGATAATTATTTATTTAGTTTCTCTATTTTCTGTTTGGATAAACTGCGTCAAAATCTCAAAATCGTTCTGCATTATTCTATAGGTTCACTGATCAGGTAATATCATAGGGAAGCGTATTCGACTTATCAATAGGTTTAAATGAATATGAATTAGACAAAACTAATGATCATTATCATTATTATAGGATCCATTCGAGAATTAAAACTGAATAATCGAGTTACATGAGAACATCTCTGGAATAAAAGTTCAAACAAATTTAGAAATCTATTACCATTATTGAAAACTATTAAAATACTAATTGTTTACAAACCTTAGATCAAGACTTGCATGGACATCAGTTAGCCTTATGAGTAAATATTTAAAAATAATGTGCCTCAAAAAAATCAGAAAGTAAACTAGTAGAAGAATCATCCAAAATGATTAGTTTTTAAGTGTACTTAGTACAAGTAATAATAAACAATGAGTAAAAGCCAAAAAACAGTAGATAAATGGTTTTTGTACATGTATTCTCAGCTCAAAGAATACAGATCATCTTATGCCTTTTTGGAGGATCCAACAAGATTCTATGAATGATACCAAGAGGATCTTGAAACCACTATAAACCAAACGTTGTTGAGTACAGCTGTTGACATTTCCACATTAACTTGCCTGTTTCTGAAAGCCTATAGTCACAGCCTATGTTCGTATTTTGAATATGGTCAAGTAATTTTCTTCAAAAGTAAATTCACCATTGAGTGATTGGTGGAAATTAACTACAAGATGGCTGCTTAGGGTGCTTTGTTAAGAGATCATATTTGTGTGTTCTAGAAATTATTTGACATTTTTTAACTACTTCTAAGTAGTATAACATTTTGAAGTAAAAACATAACTTTGACAAACTTGCAGATTCAGAAGTATTACACGACAATATTATCGTAAATCAGATGGTGTAATTATTGTGTTCGATGCAACTAATGAATCAAGTTTTTTAGCCGTCCGTTCATGGCTTCAATCGGTTACCGAAGAAACAGACGAGAATACCGTTATCTTAATTCTGGAAAATAAGTCTGATCTCATTGAAGAAAATGATAATAAACGTGCAGTATCGCGAGCTACAATTGATAAAATTGTTCGCGTAAGTTCTTTGTGTAGCAGTGATTAAAATTAAGATATTTGCCAGATTACCAAGAATTCTTTATATACCACATAAACATTTAGTACTTCATATTATGAGGACAATAATTTCGCGAAAACTCTATGTGTATTGATTCATGGAATTTGCACTGGTAAAAGTACTCAGCACATATATATATGTGTATATATATGGTGACTTAGAGCAGTAAGCGCTACTGATTTGTATTTTAACCTAAGTAAATGATTGGATTCTTTAGTGGTGTGTATTTTTGTGCTTATTACAATAGATAATTTGTGGTCACAGGGAATTTGTTAGTGAGCATTCAGACGTCTTAGTGGCAGAAAAACTAAAGAATATTTGTAACTAGTGCACCAGCGATTTTAACGATTTACGCTGGTGGTCACAATACTACTGACATGATAATTTTAACAGTATACTTATGGTCACTTTACTGTGGATGACTTATTATAGGCCGGTTGCATTGAGTTTGGGCTCGCTACTTTGGTAGTCCAAGAGCTCAACAACTTTGTAACCTGAATCATGACTCTAATTAATAAGGATGAAATATATATAATTTCATTTTTCATACTTTGGCTAATTGCCTCTACAACGGTGGTATTTAGAAGTCACATGAGAAATGCTGCTAGAAAATCATATTTCGTGTATTCACATGAGCAAACAGACAATAAGCCCAATGAATAGAAGAAGCTTAAGCGGTTGGTCATGCGCTCACACGAGCCTTCAAACGGCCTTATGAATAGTAAAAGAAGTCAGCGAATATGATAAGTGGACAGGCCCATACAACAATAACAAGCCCTCTGTTAAATATGCATGAATACATATAATACAACCGATATATTCAATATTAAAAATGACAATCCAAGTTTCGCATTAGTATTAGGTTTTGTACCGACCTACACAAGGCCTTACACCAAACTATAATGCCATGTTGTGATTTTGTAAATTTGACCGTGTCATGCTTCACGTTTATAAAATTTTGCTGCAACCTCACCCCCGCGTTGAGTATTTTTTTTATTTTTGAAGAAAATGAAAGCCTCCGGCTTTCTAAGACAGTCTGTACATGAATAATTATTTTTACTTATTTAGAATTTAATAAATAATATAGTTGTCTTCACCTTTTTCACCAAGGTTGATATGCATAATTCATCTGTGCGGTATAATCCAGGAACAATTTTACTTAACAAATTACTTCTTTCGAACTTAGATTTAAAGTAGATTCTAAAAGTTAGGGTTAATAAACTCAGAAAACAGCTCAAAAATGCTAGAAACTGAACGTTTATTGAACACTGAAAAAAGATGGATATATTCATACCATAAAACTAACTCCAATATTTGGAGTGATTTCTCGAACATTGCACGAAAACAAATTGTTCTTCATTTGTCAACTGGTATACTTGGCTACAGTTTTTTCTTTAAATATGGATATTTCATCCTGGTCAAGTTCGAGTCCTAAAATAATTTGTATCTTAACTGAAGATCATCTTCAACTCAGATTTGTATGCTTCCCCTTAATTGTATCAGAAATAAACTTTAATTATTAAATTTACAGGTATATAAAACAATGTGCTTTGAAGTCAGTGCAAAAACTGGGCACAATATAGAAGAGGCGTTTATGGTTATGGCAAGGTAAAACTATTTAATATTACTCGTTTATTATGTGTGAACATATAATTCCCAGTATATTGTAAAAGAATTCATTTCATAAGACATCTCTTCCTATCGAGTCCGATGTTATGGTGAGGCAGAAAGAAAAAACTGTTCCAATTCATCCAAACCTTTTTGCACTCAGATGGAAGCTTAAAACATTCTTCGGAAAGACTATGACCTATAGACAACGTTTGAGCGATACTAAAGTGGTCTCAAAAAACTTTATCTACTTACTAGGGTCAAAACAGGGCTATTAATTACTGTGAGGAATTAAGATTATGGATTCCAGTTAGTAGCTATGGTTAGGAATTAAATTAGGTTTTCATCACGAATTGACATCAGCTATGAAGTCAAAATGTTGTTTAGCTATCGAGGTAAATGAAACCAATAGTCACTATGTTAAATCGATTTATCCATGAGTTATAGTCCTGAGAAAATTTTAATGACATCTTTTAAATAAATCAGTATCTAACTTGTTGAAATTGAAACGTTTTAAGTTTTAATAATTGTTACAAGCTAATTACTGACCATTTGATAACCACTATCTTCGGTCGTATTTTGGTAAAATATTGGTACCGATGTGGTTATTTGTTATGACCGCAGAAAAAAACCGATTCAACTAACAAATATAATCAAACAACTGAATGAGATTTTTTCTTGTTCCTGACACCTTCCACAGTGGATCAGTTGTAAATCAATGGAGGGATTAATGTTTGATCCATAAAGTTCTTGCATTTGAACTGAGCACAATTTATTGAGGCAAGGTGTAAAAGTTTAGATGCATCATTCATTTTATTTGAATAAGTAAAATGATTACCATCAAATTTATTGGATGAATTTAGACAACTTCAACGGATACTGAGAATTAGTGATTGGTCAATTAGTATTTTTCCTAAAGTATGGTCAGCTTTATAAAGTTGAGATCAATGGAAATTTTCGTGAACATAAAGTCCCCACACATGATTATCATCACTTGATCTCAACTTCTTGAGGCGAGTAGAAATTATGCGGTTTACTGTATGATCTACCCCATTTAATCTTAAATAAATCGTCATTTCTGCCATATCAAAAATAAACTCTCAATCTTGACAAATAGTCATACCAGTAGCAGTATAAACATTTTTTTTCAAAGTCAATAGCTATCTGTTTATTGACTGACAGATAACTATTCGTCGGATCAAGTTACATAAATACTTAGTGATTCATTAGTGGCTTTGATATGCTTACATGTGATCACATACTTACATCTGACTAGTAGTTCTACTTCATAAAATCAGAATTCGAACCATCTTAATATTCTATCAAATCTATGAGGAATTCCAAAAACAAACAAAAAAATATTGATTTCTTCATCTATTCACCAAAGTATACAATTACATTATCAAAGGAATAAAATAATAAGTCATCCAGGTACAAGAAATGTTAAAGAAATGGTAAAGTTCAATCAGTTTTTTTATTTGAAATAAACAAACTGTTTAACCAATTACATTTATACGTTACTTGAATTAAAAAGATAATTCAACAATTGAACATACATGTATTCATATTAGTAATCTAATAAATCCTTCATCTATAATTAGAGAAGTGATTAAAATAAAGAATAGAAAATTTAAAAATGAAGAATATTTGAGCGAACAATTGTTTTCAATAACTTCATCATCAGGCTCTACAGTTATATTTCCATAATTATCATATTTTACAAAGGCCAAAATAAGGCATTTATTAATGAATTAGACAATGTTATGTGTTAAAAATGGTGCACGTTTACATCTGTTACGATATAAATATTACTTAAAAGTTATATTATTTGCAATTTAGAAAGGTAATTCAATAAAGGTCAGGATGATTTGGAGTAAAGTGTTCAGTCTAATGGTTAAGTGCTCGCGCGCGAAGCCAGTAGGTCCTGGGTTCGAATCCCGCGGGGTGCGGGACCGTGGATGCGCACTGCTGAGGAGTCCCATACTAGGACGAAACGGCCGTCCAGTGCTTCCAGGTTTTCAATGGTCGTCTAGCTTCAACTGACTCATGATTTCAATTTGTGAAAATTGAGATGATAATAATAATAAGATTTTTGTGTGAATATATTATGAAATAAGGAGGGTGTTATCAAGGTAATTACGATAAACGAATTGGCAATGATGGATGTGAAGACGAAGATAGAGATAATCAAAAATAATGATAATAAGGAAAAAGAATAAACAGATAGAAACAAAGGAAGAGGGTATGAGGTTTATAATATTCAGTCTAGGTATTCGGTGATCCAGTCGTAAGCCAAGGTAAACAAAGAGGCTGGATATATTTTTTCTAGATACATAAATTTGGTCTTCTGGAGTTGATCCAGATAGCTTCGGCTATGTAAAGTAGTCGTAATCTAGCTCCTTGAGGTAGATATTTTGGAACTTGAAATGAAACAGAGAAAGCTTCCTCTATTTTGATATGATGTTCACTATTATTATATTATAATTATGGACTTATAACTGTAGAGCCTGATGATGAAGTTATTGAAAACAATTGTTCGCTCAAATATTCTTCATTTTTGAATATTCTATTGGGGATTTTTAAACTGCTGAAATAGAAAATTTCAAAATATAGTTTATATTTATTTCTTTATTTATTAAGGAAACTTAAAGAAAAAGAAGTTTATGAACTTCAAACTCTTCAAAATTTAAAGAATGATGCAAATATTAAAAAGAATACATGTTGTCGATGAAAAATCAACAGAATATTTAAGGAAGAAAACAAAAAGAAAAAAGAGTAAATGTGGATTATGTAAACATATACAATCAGATATAATACATGTACACGTACATATATAAAAATCTCTGATATGTTTTTTTTTGTTCAAATTATTTTCGTATATATTTCATTTAAAATGGGATAATTTAGGTTAGAAGTAATTTGAATCACTTCGTTACATGATTATCGTTTCAAACTAGAAGGGACCATATTACTTCTAACATAGAAAAAATTACTTTACATATTACGAAACTTTTAAATTCTTGACATTTTGATAATCATCAAAAATCTTTCATTTCCCGATTGTTATTTCTAATGATTAATTCATTACTTGATTATTTTTCCTTCATCCGTAATCTTACATGATATTGTTTTTGTTTTAGTAATTCAAAAGTAATTATGAATAGTTTATTGAAAGATAAGTGGAATTACAATATATTGTGCTTAGATATATGAACATCATTAATTGTTATAGGCCTTAAATATTACTGAATCTTCCAAAGTTTAAACAAATGGACATTATCGTCAATTTATGCATAAAATGTATAAATAAATAGTATATTTGTAATATCGCAATGAGTAGAAAAATTGGATTTTCTGACGTTTCCATGACTTAGTGTAAGTCCGTTGTACTATTTAAACTTGGATTAATTTTAATTTGGTTATTTATTCTCTGAAGAAGTGACTTACATTAAGCCACGAAACATCAGAAAATCTAATTTTTCTACTTATTGAGATATTACAAATATACTATTTATTTATAACAATCTACCCAATGCTCAATTTATTCGAAATTATCAAATCAAACCTTGGTAATGATACCTATAAAATTGATAGTTCAGAATTTAGTTAATAAAAATGGGTATGATTATTGATGTTAATTTGTAATTATTGTCAAAAAGTAATACTATAAATTTGGATAATATAGAAAAATGCATTGAATAACTAGATGTGGTTTAAATGTTTACAGAAAAATACATGATGCTAGAAAGAAATGAATGTTCTGACAGTGAATCGAGATGCTATACACAATGAATATAGTATGTGTATGTTTATGAAGTGAGACGAACACAATAATATTGATTTGTACATTAGAATAAATGCTTGTTAAGACTTAATTTTTCCTTACTGTATATGAACTAGTAATCCATTGATCTCAAATTTTCTAATCTTCTGGTTATTAGGACTGTGATAGATGCCATTTTTCCACCTTCAGGCATTACATTGAGACTAGTGAATTTTTTTCATCTATGAGAGTTAGTTTTCCATTATAAATGCATTAATTCTCCAAGTGATGTATTTTTTGAATATTAATTTTTTCTAAAACTGAAATGTACTGGTCTTAATTGCAGAAAATCTATAATTTTACCAGTCTGTGTACAATAGACTACACTGGGTGGAATGCAAATCTTATTCACCAGTTAGATAAAAAAACATATTGAAATTGCTAATTAGACATAAAATTTTACTCGGACGAGAACTAGATCCAATTTTGGTGGTGAAACAGTTGAATATTTCAAATCGCAAAATGCGATGATGAGATTTAGGACAATCCGTAAGTATGGTCGCGTCTTATGCAAAATTGGATGCCGGCTCAGTAGTCCAGTAGGTTAAGCGTTCGTGCGCGAGACTGGAGGCCCTGGGTTCGAATACCGCGAGCGGAGTCGTGGATGCGCACTGCCGAGGAGTCCCACAGTAGGACGAAACGGCCGTCCAGTGATTCCAGGTTTTCAATGGTGATCTGACATCAATCGGTTCATGAACTCAATCAAAAAATTCTGTGAGTTATTTTTTTAGAACTGCAGTATCACGATTCATGATTTGGCAAATACCTTTCACTAACATTCAGATATTAGTTTTGTAAGTTAGATCTACTCTCCTCGTGGCAAAATTTAATGTTCACTGAACAAATCTACGACGACCGAGACCCAAAACGTCCGATTCATATATAAAAAGTCGACATAACTGTTGACTACGCAGAAGGAATGCTTCACAAAGTACACTACATTCACTTTAGTAACGATTTCTGACTTTTAACTGATATATTGTATACACATGATAAGCTAGTAACCCCAAAAGTCAAGTTACTAAGGTGAATCAGTATATTCTGAAATGAATGTTTTTTTTAAAAAAAGTAAAATCAACATTGCCTTACTAGTCAATTTTTTTCCTGACTACCAATTGTATGTGGACACATAACGAGATTTACTGAAATATACTCTTACAGTTAGGTCCATACTATCTCTAGTGTATGCAGAACAACAAAATATTGTGGCATTTTTCTAAGCTCTGTATGCCTAGTAGAAATGTTATTCAGAAGTAACTTGTATAGTCATATACTTGACCATGGCTCATAAGCTTTAAACATTTATTCATATCAGCTAAGGTAACCTGATCATGATATCATTGAAGGCTGATGACTTCTGTGACACTGAACTTGTCCGTCACAAGTGCCTAGAACTTCGAAAGGCATATTTGCAACATTGAAAATGTTTTTAACATTTGTTCAATTTGCCTAGAAAAAAGTAGGATGACCACTAATCATCCCAGTATTATTCACTCCAACTGGTTTTCTGGATAAAGTTACAGGAGTTAATTCTTTAAACAATAAGCCATTTAAGGATTAATCTTGTTGTTCTGACTACCCTTAAAATAAGTTAAATAAAAAACAAAAACTGGTCAGATCTGACTTTTCCGAACGTACTGATTCTTTTAACTAACTGATACATGATAATCCGACATTATTTGAGCAAATTTCTTCACTCCACAACACCAAAAATCAGGAAATGTTTAATGAAGTAAACTTAAATTAATGATTATTATAGCCCGAAAACTCAGGTAAGGCCGACGGTGTGACGATTATTTATATAAACCAAACCAATCGTAGATCAACGGGATAAATAAACTGTTCTGCATGTGCATTAAAATCGTACTTTGTTACAAATAAAGTTAATTTATATCAAACAGCAGCTCTATATTGCTTTCATTCTAGGTGATTCAGTTTTCCCCAACCTCATTTTGGAATTTCCTCACTTAGCAAGTAGACTATAATAGAACTTTTTGGTCTGTAAAAACAGTCCCAAGTCATCATACAGTTGCTATCAAAAGGTTATTCTTTCAATACAATGTCTGATGAAGCTAGTTTGAAATCATACGTCATTTGAATCTGCTACTCGTGAGGATCCTAAGATGATGCATATCGAAAGTGTGTTAGTGATCTGGAAATCCCGTAAACCTTAGTTCTACTTTAGAGATGTTTATTTAAGATTTTAGTAGTGGATCTATAACCGTTAAACTTTTCGGTGTTTCCCGTGCATTTGGACCATGTCCCATTGACTTCCAGCCTCATTAGCTCCTGAGTAGTATCACACCTCAAAGGTAGAGCAAAAATAATTGCCTGAATCGCTATCAACAGTCATGTTATGGATTAATAAGAATAAGAAGTAACACAACTTTCCTTTATTTCTGTTATGCTCCACTGAGTTACAATCCAAATGTACCAGATTACGAAATATATTATCAAATTACATCATCCTGCTGGCTTTTTTATGTTTGGTTAGTAGCCAAAGACAACCAAAAAGTGAAATGTTAGGTAGGAAATATTTTAATCCCTTAAGACACTGAATTTTAGTGGGTGTCACACAAGTTTATGATTCCAAGTCACTCTAATAGGACGAATTGTTGGTAAAAGTCCCCATGATGATAATTACACACAACATGAGTTCGGCATGGGAAGCCTAGTGTTCAAAATGGAGATACCATCTGAATCTTATAAATATCGGGGGCTGTCCCACTCAAGCTACCTGAAGCTACAAACCCGATGTCAATGACGCGATGTGTGGAACCTCAAGATAACTGACTCAATAATAATTTGATATCGGTTGCATTAAAAGTGTTCCCACCAGAGACTTATCTTAAACGCTTTATAGGACTACATTTACTCTAACTTCTACATCTAAATAATGTAAAACAAATAAGATGTGATGACACGGAATATGATGTACAAGTTTTCCACTAGCCTATAAAAAACACTTCCCACACAAATTCAATCTCGGAGTTGTTAATTCACAATGAAATAAAACGCTGGAATAAATATATATCTTTTATTATATGGAAAATATATACACAAATTCATGAGCAAAGTTCAACCCGTTTACCGTCATCTGAAAGTTTCATAGACTGACTTTTATTGACTTTTCTCATAATTTTACTCTCCACTTCCTCTTTCGTAAGACTAACTTCCTTTTGATCATTTGAATTCAAAATACGTGACGAGACCTATATACAAATCAATAAAGTTATTGATATCAATTTTATGTTGCAAAAACAACTGCATTTTGATAGTAATGAGGAAAATATTATATTTTTGAGGATAAATTTACAGAATCTACACCAAACTGTGATGATGGTACTTTCAATTAAGTGTTTGTGTATAAACGAACCACTAAAAAAGTATACATGGAGTTGAAAACTCATGACATGGACGCTACTACATGCTAAAAGCATAATGCTTATGAGCTTTACCTTAGGTGACACGGTTCATAATTGGCTACAGTGTATTGGATATATTTATTCTAGGTTTTTTTCACATATCGACCTTAACATTAGTTCATACAAACAATTTTTAGAGATAAATTTTTGAAATTAGTTCGCCGCTACCGTTATGAAATATTCTTACTTCTATGTTTTTAACGTTCCTATTTGCCTATGGGTTACAAAACATACTTGGTAAAGTAAAGCACTGAAAACTGAAGCACAATATTTGGGGTGTAAAGATTTTGATTTTCCTGTTTCTCAATAACGTCACTGGGTTGAGTTGGGGTATAATTTCGATGGCCAACAACATTATGCAATTAAAACAAGATCATATTATCTGGGACCAGTAGCACATTGACTGAGACAATTACCCAAAGCAGTGAACGACTGTGCATACAACAAAGTATAAATATTAACCGCCTTTATTGATTGGGATAGTTACAAATTTTAGATGATTCAGACAACATAGATTGCTTCGTATTGAGATATTCTCCGAAGTACTAACAAGCAATTAAAATTTAAATTAGGTTACAATCTATATCTCAAGTATGAGAAATCTACCAGCGATATACACATTAGCATACAAGATTTGACTATAACATCGCAATATTTTTCTAAGTAATCTAGAAAGATAACGGAAGTCTATATCAGATTCTATGCTAAAATGATTATTTTTAACACATTAATAAGCAAAAATACCGTTGGACTACGCCAAGCCAAAATGAACTATCTTACTCTTTTCACAAGCTTCTTCAGAGAAATTTGT